AACACAAAATAAATGATAAAATAAACTAAAACTCAACTAAACGACTCAAATGGGGGAAAAAGAAATAAAAAATAACAACGAAAAATGTAACAAAAATGGGACAAACAAGAACCGCAAGCAATTATCCCCGATTCCCTAGCTCTTTAATCATCGAGTTAATTCACTTGCTATTTAATTTGCTTGCATTAGTTTTAAATCTTTAGTTGATAATTGAAACCCTAAAATTATTGAATAGAGTGTTTAGGAATTTTTCTTTTCTTTTTCTTGATAGAATAATTGTACAATTAAATTCGGCTAACATTCCTTTCGATACGACCCAGGGAACGAATCTTTCGATTCTACTCTGGTAAAAATACTTACAATAGTGACCAAGCCACAAAGAAGTTGATAGCAATAAGGACTCTAAGGACTTGATAAATCTGATCTAATTTAGAGATGCACATTGAAAAGACTTCTTATCTCATGAGGAGTCTTCAAGTTCTCCTATAAAAGGAGCAGATTCATTCATTTTACACAACACACACATACAAATTCTCTTGTTACTCTGTCATTTTCTCATTGGACCACCACTGACTTGAGCGTCAGAATGTTCGCACCGGGACCACCCCGACGTGTTTTGCAGATACCGACGATCATGGAGACGCAACCCGGTTCGGAGAAGAGCGGTCCAACGGTTCAAGTATTTGTGGTATAACAAATTGGCGCCGTCTGTGGGGAACCCAGTCTTCTACCAGAGTATCAAAGGATGTTTTTTCTCTCACTGAAGAAGAAGAGTGATATGAGTCATGGCAGGAGATAATTCGAAGAAGAACTTGACTAAAGAGATGGATGAGGAGTGGGTTCGGAGGGCCTTCGAGACAGGTCCTCCACCAGGATGGTCACCGTCACCTGTCACCCCCAAAGAGAGGTTGTTGGTCCCAAGCGTGACCCCGATACCACCATCAGAAGCTCAGGGGCACTCATTGAACCCAGGGGGATCGGGTGGTGTGGCGGACAAAGGGAAGGAGGTTAACACCCAGTCGATGAGGGAGTGAATCAAGGCTTTTTGGGATCCGGGGGTGCTGGTAGTCAGAATGATAATGGGCAGATGGTCGTGGCAAAAAGACAAAACCCTTTGGGGGACCATGTTTCTTCAGCACCACGGGGGGAAGACCCCGTTATTCAAATGACCAGGTCAGAGTTGGATAGGATCATTGCTGAGGTGATAGGCCGAGCTCAAGAGGTGGATAGGAGGGTCCCTAATGAATCATTTCGACAACCTCTGCCCCGGCAGCCGCTCTCACCTCAACAACAGGTCCCCTCGCGTTAGCAGCAGCACCAGCGTTTGGAGAGGGCCAATTAGGATGATGCCAGGTCGGTGACATCTCGCCCGGTGGCGATGACACAGCTGGATGGGTTAACTTTGGAGAGGTTGGCAGCTTAAATGCGGGTACTCCAAGCTCGGGTTCAGGGTAAGAGGCCTATAGTTTCACGAGGACACACTTTTGCAGAGGATGTCTTAGGAGGGGATTTGTCCAACAACTTCAGGGAGTTGGGTTTGTCCTATGATGGATCGGCGGACCCAGCTAGGCACTTGAGATCGTTTGATAGCATAGCCGTGTTGCACAGGTATAGTGATGTTGTGAGTTGCCGAGCCTTCTTGATGACGTTAAAGGGGTCAGCGCAGGATTGGTTCCACCAGCTGCCAGTGGGATCTATTGATATCTTTGAAAGGTTTAGCTCCTTGTTTCTAAATCAGTTCGCGAGCGCTAGGAAGCACGAGAAGACGTATCTCTCACTAATCAATATGCAGCAGAAGGAGGGAGAGACCTAGCGGCAATACGTAGCACGGTACACTAAGGAGAGCGTGGAAGTTCCCTCTGCTTCGGAAGAAATCAAAGCTTAAGGTCTTACGCGGGTATTGAGGCCTAGGAAATGCAGGGATTCAATTGCAAAAAGGCCAGCGAGGTCCTTTGATGAGCTACTTAAGAGGTGCATCAAATATGTGAATATGGAAGAATCGGAGGCAGACTTCATTCGAAATTATAAAACAAAGGCTAAACAGGTAGATGAGAGACCCCGACAGGGTGACCGACGAGCTGGCCCAAGGAGGATAGGGTTGAGGATCGGTTCAAGGGTCCAAAGTACGTGCATTACAAACAACTTAATGCACCACAACAGGAGATCTTGGAGACAATAGAAAAATGAAGGGAGGACAAGTTGCTGGCGTAGCCAAAGCCTCTGCCCCCACTACGGAATTTTTCGGCATCGAAGGACATGTATTGTCGGTACCACCGTGATTATGGCCACTCTACCAATTTCTGCCTAGAGTTGATGGATGAAATTGAACGGCTCATTAGGGTCACTCACTTAAAGGAGTTCGTGATCAACGACAAAGAGCGCCAGGATGATCATCGGGAAGGGCGCGAGTCGGGTGACAAGCG